GAGCATATTCCTTTTTATAAGGCCGGCAGCATACACGGAACGCCTCTGGTGTTTTGGGTGATCATGGGCGGTAGTCACTTATCATCAGGTGAGCCGCATGTTCGTTTGCCCCTTGTATTATAAAATAAATATTTCACTTATAATTTTAATTGTATTACGACGTTTCATTCATAAGTCTAATTTTATTTATAACTTACATCTTAAATGAGCCTTAAAATGCATAAACCGCCTGCTGCAGTCCTCTAACGTCCACAATGGAATGTTATTATTTACTTTGAGAACCAATGGTGTAAATGTAAGTAGTATCGTCTAATGATATATGATACGACTAATGTCCAAGCGATACGGAGTCAAAAGCCCCGACGGTTCCACTAGGCGGTTTCTGTATACGCTGTTTTATGACTGTATCCTCTTTCAATAGAACCTGAACTGTAAGTGTATGCTGATTTGTCAAACATAAAGACATTGTTAATGCGCTTGTTATTTGTTCCCAGTGAAGCTTTGTATATAATTTTATTGATTGATCTGAATAAAAAGTAGCCAATGTCCAATCTTAAATAGTATATATATATATATATATATATATATATATATATATATATATATATATATATATATCCAATTTCATAACGACTGGTTGATTTGTTAGGCCAAGAGGTAAGAAACAAACAAACATATTCACTTACAACTTTAGCGACTATTAAAGCGATTTTGATAACATTTCTTTGGCATTCCAATTCCATCTAATTCCATTTACAACTGACGAAGTTATGAAGTAACAAACATTTTATTTTTTATTTTAATAGCTAATTATGAATTTTCATTATTAGCAGTATCATCTAATTTAAATTTAAATTGCTTAAGCCCTAGGTAGTGTTGATGGTAACGTAGACAAAGAAGAAAGTGGGAATTAATTTGCCAATTTTACTACTTAATAATTCGAAATTTAACATGTGTAATATATTAATATTAAGTATTAATGTAATATACAAATACTCTTGAGTATATATACCTAGATACCTACCGGGCCGTGTGGTCCCGGCATAGAATGGGTTACCCCGTCATTTTCCGTGGATGTCGTAAGAGGCGACTAAGGAAGGGCGATAGATGAGCAGCAGGGTCCCCCTTAAAACATTTCCAAAGCCCAACTGCGGTTGTTAGTCCGCAGTGCCAAGCGTGGCACCTACGGGCAAGACTCCCTAGGGGGAGGCTTATGTTCAGCAGTGGACGGTCAAAGGCTGATGATATGTATCTTCAGCGCCGTCTAGTTCCAAATTAAGCAGTGATTGTACTATGAGTATTTGACTACTGATAGATAGATAAATATTTTTTAACCGATTTACGTTCATTCTCTTATATTTCTATCGGTTGTAAATCGATTTGTCAATTTTTTTTTATTATCTTTTTGAAAAGGTACACTTACAGGTTAGTCCCATAAACATTTTATTAATATCGATTCTGTAATTTAGTTTTTAAGTCACTGGTTTTGCCACAAATAAAGTTTTTTTCTCTGGAGCACAATCTTAGTTATTTACACATATGTTATACATAGAAATACTCAGACTGGTACGAACAGATTTGAAGAAAATGTACCTATTGTGCAGTAATCAATCCAATAAAGGTCGAAAGGTAAGACACTGTGCAAAATCGCTATGCTACAAAGGTTGTTATTAAACAAAAAGTATATCAGAACGACATTCTTTTGTTTAGTAGTTCTAAGAACTAAAACATTGTACTAATATTGAAGCATGTATATCTTATTTCTAACTATTAGCTTATCTGTTGCCAAACTAATTGTTTGTATGTCCGGTGACACAAAGTAACGAAACAATGGACAGTTTTGTTTAGAAATAAACACCTGGTAGTGTGAATGTTTTCTTATAAGCACAGATGACATTGGTAGGTTATTTTTTATTATTAAATCAGTCGTTAATTATTCACTGTTGAATATACGTCTTCCCCATAATGGGGAGTGTTGCCAGTAGTTGTCACGCTTGGCAGGCGAGTTGGCAATCGCAATTGGTTTTGGTAATGCTTTAAGAGGGATGCTGCTGCCCATCTCTCGATTATTAATTTCCCTTAGTCGTCTTTTGCCACATTTACGGGAAAGAAAGGAGGCCGATCATGGATAGGTATTTAGTTATTATTTTTTAGGACCTTAAAAAAAGAGTGTGGTTTTAAATTAAAGCGATTATTTACTTCAACTATGATTAAAGTTTAATGAGTCAGTACGAAATCAATATCAAAGAAACAAAGAAACTCACTTTCATATTTATAATATTAGCAAAAAATCCCACGGGCAAAATCGCGGGAAACGACTAGTAATAGAATATGTATGCAAAAATTTCTTGTCCACATATATCAGCTGAAATTCCATGACGAATTGAGTGGTAAACTCATAAAAAATACTATCAAAACATGTTTATAATTAAGTTTACATGAATAAACATATTATAAAAATTTAAACTAATTAAAGAAAAGTAAAAGGAAGTTCTCTATGTACGAGTGCGTTTTTTTTTTAATGAATTATAATGGAATGGTATCCCCGTCCGCGCTATACACGCTATACACGGTATACGCTGGCGGGGCACCAGTGAGGGATGTTAGATGAGAATGAAAAGGCAGATCAGTTAGCTCATCGTGATGAATGCACCTGGAATTCAGCACGACGATATCCAGGGGGAACCGCAAGGAGGGTGACCTGACAAGTGACCTGACGTGGATAGGTGGGGTTACCATTTCATTGTCATCCATTAAAAAAACACAATAAGGTTTTTTTTTATGTAGCAAGTAGAAAGAACTGAGTACCAAAGACCAACGTAGTGATGAATGAAACAGGTACTATATGTAGGTATAGGGGTATACTGAATATTGAAGGGATAATAGCAAGTATTGTTTTCTAATTGGATATATCATCAGAAGTGTTATACTTTATATGAGTAATATCCTTTTGTGAAGTAGGTATAATTAATCTTAGAAGCTTTCGTTGTATTTACTTAAATTCGATACAAGGCGATTGTGTGTGGTTCGTCTTCATTATAAATTCCACCGATAAATGTTTAATTGCAAATTAGAGTTAAGGCGAAACCGTAAAACCTCAAAGCAAACACCGTCGAGCTCGTAAAAGGTGATGAATGGAAGGTTCAAGATCAGGCAATGATCTGCGCTCGCGCATCCTGTCGGGTGCGGTACGCCATTTTGTGGGCGGAGCTAATGTCCCGAATACAGATCTCTTTTTCGAAGTAGTCTGTTTCCCTCAATCTTATTAGTTGGAAAGGGAAAGACGTATCTTTCCCTTTTAAATTCCTCTTTGTAAATTTCTAATAGGTTACCTGTTCTGTTATTATTTAAGTGTAGCTACCTATTTTTAACTTGCCTTTTTTTTGTCAGATACATATCAAAGGAACTATCTTTGTTGGTTGACACATAATTATTTTAAGTGCTAAAGTTTATAATAACCAGTACATTAAAGTTAATTTGAAGTAAAAGCAAGCTTAAAATTAAATATAATAGTGATAGTATTATAATGTTTACTACAGAAGCGAATTGTTTATAACTGAGATCAGCAACCCGAGCGCGTTGCGCGGGCGCTTCCCGTCGCGTCGGCTTCGTATTTATAGCATCATTCGATAATAATGAATGACTTATTTATTTATAATCACAGGCAAAAAAATGTCTTTTAACTAATAAATTACTAATAACATATAATGTTTATGATAAAATGGTAAAGATAATCTCTAACTTTTAAACAACTTGCAATGGCAACAAAGTTGACCGCCCACTCATGGAAAATGGAAACTGTCGCCTACGTATTTGAGCATAATACATTGTTGTGACGCCCACGGTGTTCTCGTGCGTTATCATTACTGAGAATTGAGCTTTTGAAGGGGTAGCTTGCCATGTTTGAAGAATAGTTTTCGTTTTTTTTTTGGTCTTAAAAATTAAATAACAAAAAAAACCGAATTATATTTCTGCTGATCACAGAACTGTACACAGATTTGGACATCTCATATACTTTTTTATTTATAGGTACTTAATCGATAGTTAGTGTTATTCGAAATATCTACACTGTCAGTCAGGTTAACCTCCACGCAATAGCTATCTCATGAAAATCATTGTGGATAATTTCTAGTGAACGATCAAATTGGACCAACCGACATGATGTTAATTTATCCTAACCTTTTGTCCCTTATTGATAGCCAGTCAGCGTATACTAATACACAGATGGGTATGACATAGATACTATTTATTTACATTATAAAAAAAAATTCTTTTGTACACATTTTTTTAATAATTAGGTAATTATTTGTGTGTAATTTCCGGGAAATTCTTGGATACTTATGTATCCTTACGTGATTCTCCTTATTACGTTTGCTTTTGTAATAGTAGGAACCACACTAACAACATCATTGATTTCAGTTTTACGACTTTATAACATCAACCTTAACTTTATAGCATCAGAGTTCTTAATCGTATGCTTCCTTTCGTTTATACGAGAGCGAGTAAATAAATCCGGCAAGTTTAATGCAAAACTTTTGGTTTACGCTTTATGGTAAATATTTGGTGTACGTCGTATAACTGTTTTATAGATCTAGTAAAATGTTTGGTTTAATTGTGCTAGGTCAAGAGCGGGCGTTCGACAGCCGTCCTTGCGACGGGTAAATATTATTGTCTAAGCGGGTTTTCCTCTTGGAATGTGGCGGGCTGGGGGTACGTGAGTGCAACGACCTTTACCATGTTATTCCGCAACGTTGACATTATCTGTACACCGCAAAAGTTGTCCTAACCAATAGAAAACTAATGCATAATCGCTACCATACCACTATTATAATGGACTTTAATATAGCATAGCAGGCAGAAAGTATTTGTTTCAGATTCAGGTCAAATATTTACTGAATTACAACTTCGTAATCTTGAAATACACCTATCGAAGCCCACATCTAGTGTTCATCCCGAATTGCGATGAGAGGCATGGTGTACACATAATAAGTCCAGAACGCATTTGTATCTAATAAATGTATAGATACGGTACGGAGTGTCGGTTTGCCAATAAGCAAGAGAGTGGAGGCGGGCGTGGGTGTGAGTCGGCGGTGGCGGGGCGCTGGGCGGCGCGGGCATGGTGTCTTGGTGGGCGGCGCGCGCGCACTGTTGCCCGACACGCGAATCGACTCGCACGCGCACGTGCACGCATGAAGACCGAGGACCAAACCACTGAAGAGGCGGCGCGGCGCGCGCCTGCCACCAGGCGACAGGAAAAGCCACCTTACTCGTATATAGCATTAATCGTGATGGCTATCCGACACTCGCCAAATAAACGACTCACCCTCAGCGAAATATATACCTTTCTCCAACAACAGTTTCCATTTTTCCGAAGTTCCTATCAGGGCTGGAAAAACTCGGTGCGTCACAATTTGAGCCTGAACGAATGTTTCGTGAAGTTGCCGAAGGGCCTCGGGCGTCCGGGGAAGGGCCATTATTGGACAATCGACCCGTCATCGGAATTTATGTTCGAGGAAGGGTCTTCGAGACGACGACCTCGCGGGTTCCGTCGTAAGTGCCAGGCGCTGAAGCCCCAGTTCGGGGGTGGAGGATATTTGTATGGTGGTGGAGTGCCAGCGCTTCCGCCTTCTCAGCCGACGGGTTACGAGCTGGCTAGCGGTAGCAGCGCCGGCGGGAGCGGTAGCACGGCGATCGACTACGGAGCATGTGCTTACACGCACACCAGTTCGACGGGCCAGCAGCTGGCATATGGAAGCGAGTACTGCACATACGGATCTATGAGCGAACGCGAGTGGCCGCTCCCCTATAGTGGTGTGGAAGCTGGGTACCGGCCACCGCCTTCTTCGCCGCCCTCACATCATGACTTGCCTGATCTCATACCCAACTACCAGTATGCTGTTACTAATGACCATGGTAAGTTTTTTTTTATTATTATTATTATATAATGACTTATTTAATTTTTTTTTTAATAAGATATACGGTTTAGGTAGAATTATTTTGGTACGTACCTATTTTGTAGTAGTACTTCATTATTTTTATTAATTCTCGGTATCTTGTAAACATTGATAAGTAGTTTATAAGAATTTCTAATTTAGAAAATTGGCTAGGGTAATTATTGTGTTCCGAATAAGTTTATTTAATTTTAGCAACTACAATTAATAATGAACTTGCATATAGGTATGCAACTAAGCATATTGGACGATCGGATATGAGCGTATCCGATCGTTCTATATGCATAGTGGCACGTACCAGTTCATCAACGAAAGAATAAAAATAATCGGCTCTCAGCACTTTCAAAATCTAGAACAGTACACTCTTGTCGAAATAGTTAATAATTTTGCAGAAAATAAAAAAGTAATTTCCATGATGGATAAATAATGACATATTTCGTGAATTAAACTCTAGGTTATAGATCTTAAATTGCAAATATTCGAATTTACAACGCCAATTTAAGTCTCTACAGTTAGGTTTGGATTCGAAACAATCAGTTTTTGCTTTGTAAAAAAGTAGAAGCTAAGTATCTATCGATTTTAAGAATAATAATAATAATCGGTTTAAAATTCACGACATATTTGTGTAACATATATGATCACAAAAAAAAGACAGACAAATTTGGTACTACGTTTTGGAAACTTCAATTTGAAGCCTCAGCAGGAATGAAATCGATAATTCTTAGTGGTATCTGAAACAATTACCTATAAAGATTAGTAATGGGAACCAAATCCTGTGTTAGCCACTCGAGACCTGACAGTATTGCCGTTGACACCTTGAGTTTCTGGCTTGCGTCACGTCACTCAAGTGGTTTACTAAAAGTTAATAAAAACTACGTGATGAAAGGCCTATAAGTACTGTATGGTGTAGTACAATTACTTGTATTGTGACATTACTCTAAATAAAATATTGAATAAGCACTTATTAAGCACTTTTTCTACTAGCATTTATATTTATATATTTAACTTAGCTTTAAATATGAAAGATTTGATTGTAATGGATATGTTTAAAAACTACTCGATCTATTTTAAAAATTCTTTCACCAATAAAAAGCTAATTCAGCGAGTAGCATAGGCTGTATATTATATTATTTACAAAACATCTATTTACCTATTTTTTATTATCTATTTTTTAGTTATATAGCAATGTTCGAATTTTTGTTATACGGAAGAGTTTGCATAAACAAAAAGTTTTTTCAACTAGCTAATCTTTGGAACAATTACATTTATCGATTTAATAGTTCGTTTCGAGCGAAACCGCCGGGCAGAGTTAGTTATTTGCAAAGTGGATACGTACTTTTGCTTTGTCACATCGGGTGAATGAGAGAAAAAAATTACTTTCAGTTGGCGACATAAATACATACATATTTACCTACAAATAATTTGATGAAAAATTGAGAAATTCCCCCTTTTTAAAGTAATAATAATCTTTATTCATTTATCTTAAACATAGTTTAAAAATATGGGCTGGAGTCTCTTAGTGAGTAAAATACCTGTTAGGAAACTCCGCTCTTCCAGGGTTTCCTATAAACACCTATGTAAGTACATAAATAATTTTTATTTTATTATTAGTAATTTTTACATTTATAATCTTAATAGAAATTTTAAAGTCACTGTTTATACCAATCATAATACGATTTATTTCATATAATCCGCATAGTTTAATACCCATTTCTCTGATCGAGTAGATATAATTTTATCAGTGACTTATTGTGGAATATCTTCAAAATGAACCACATACACTAAATCGAATTATAATTCGTCTAAAAAAGTAAATAAAATATTCACTTTCGACTTCTTTTACGCTCTCTAACATAAAATTTCATATACATATAACCCAGATATAAAATTAGTTGTATTTACATATGTTATCTATATGTTACATACAACGCATAGTACGTTATAGGTAATGTAAAACATAGTTAAAATGTGCATCACATTTCTACTTCTGATGTTTTATGCAACCCTGGTGCAAAACATTCGCGGGATTGCATTGATGCAGTTAGGTTATTTGCTTTATTCAGTTGCGTTTATTTTATTACGATTTAGCAAAGCAAGTTCTTTATACTGTGATAATAGTACCTCCGATTGATGTTATCTATATCAAAAAGTATAAATTCTTATTTAAGTAGACCTATTGTTTTAACGGCCTTTTTTATCACCTTATCTAACTTGTCGTTGTGAGTTGCTCTAAGGCTTCTGGGGCAGCCTCTGTTGTTATCCATCAACCTATCTTTGCCAAGTAATTTAACTTTCATCCAACGTATAGGTACCAATCTCGAATAATATGCCACAAAACAGTACAGTAACCGTAAAGCAGTTATGTTTGTGTTGTCCATGGTACTGCTCATGTCTGAAGGCGACGGTGATCTTCTTTCCATTAGGAGGGCCGTCGACATGTTTGCCATTCTATGTTACTTAAAAAGTTATAATTACTATACTTTTAGCAGGTATAATTTAAATTTTGTTCAGTTTTTTACATTTGAAATTTAAAATTTGCAAAGTGATTTTATAAAATAAAGAAACTTATATGTAGAGTTACTTTTAATGATTACTCGTGTAATTTACAAAGCATATAAGATATATATATATATATATATATATATATATATATATATATATATATAAATCGATCGATAATATTATTTTTAAAGTGCTAATATAGCAAGGGTACAAGGCTTAGTAGGTACATTGTCAAAAAAATTTTGTAAAAGAGGACAATTTAAAACTAGTCTGTAGTGTAATTGATGGTAATTTGGTGGATTGTAAATCTGCAACGAAGTAGCAGGCGTTTATCATATATCATTTCTTCTTATGCCTTCTTCAGTCTATGGGGGAGGCTTATGTTCAGCAGTGGACATATAATAGCTGAGATGATGGTGATGATGATGATTTCTTCTTACTGGAAACAAAAGTACGAGTAATTTTTTACTTTTAGACTTTCGCATTGGTCGGCGTCGTATGGATTAAGGAAGGTCGCGATAATCTTGCTTAATTATTATAGTTTACCTAAATTACATTAATTCTTGTCTCTTATGTCAAGATATACTCGTATTTACTATAAAATACTGTGATATACGTTTTGGTCGTAGTATTTGCTACCACTATGCGCTACGAACGAACGCTACGAACATTCTACGAAAACGACTATAGTAGCAGGCTATTATCTACAACCTTCTGGAATCATTTATTCAATGTTTAATGCTGAGATTTTATTATAATTATATGACATGACCACAAAAATAAATATAACTAACTATGAATAATTAAAATAAACGTTAATCTTTAATCTATAAAAATGAACCGCTGAATGTGTTGCTAAGCGCATATCTCGAGAACAGTTGAACCGATTTCGCTAATTCTTTTTTTAGAATATTTCTTGAAGTACGAGAATAGTTCTTAAAAAATCTTTGAAAAGTCTAAAAGCAACAAGTTTCTATACTCCCATACAAACTATTCGTAATAATACTTAAAAGTCAATTTGCACTTTAATGCCATACCATAAAGTTCAAGTATTAGTGGAGAGGTTCTGTGAAGGCAAAACAATTGAGTGACGTGGCACGGCGTGTTTTATAATTTTTATATTTTGACATAATATAATTGTTGACTTATTAACTTTCTTTTTTCTTTTTTTATTTTCGATCGACCAAAATTCACGGGGTCAATTAGTAGTATCACTACGTAGTATAAAACAAAGTCGCTGTCGCTGTCTTGACGAAGTGATTTTAAGCAGTATTATTACAGCATTTTTACAGCATTATTTTTTTATCAAATTAATTACCTCAATTTAATAGAGATCAATATGGCCCTTTACAGCAAATAATTTAATTGAATATTTCTGAAGATATTACAGATTTAAAATGCAGGCAGATAGTAGCATTCTGTAGTAGGTAGGTATATTTAGTATCAGCATTGCACCCGTGCAAAGCCGGGGTGGGCCGCTAGTTATAAACGTAAAAGTGAGTTTGTTTGTTACCTCTCAGTGGCTTAAGTTGGTAACCAATTACTGTAAAATTTGGTATACATGTACCATACGGGATGAAGAAGGACATAGGCAATTTTTTACTTTTTATTCAGGTTAGTAAAGATATTCTAGTTAAGCGAACGAAATACGGGTAAAAGCTAGTACAAAATCTTACTAATATAATAAAATTGCAACAAGATGGTGTCTGTACGTGAAAGATATTTATAAAAATGGATATTAGGGTTTTGAATAAGAGCACATAATCAAAATAATAATTTTTAAAAAATTTTTTGTCTATCAGTATGTTTGTTAACAAGTGGTCAATTTTATTAATTTTCTATCCACGCTTATAAAAGCCAGTACTAAAAAAACCGTCCAGCAATATTAATTTTGAGTTATTTTATATAAAATTTACGTTAAATAATAATCGACTAGAGTGGGTCTATAAGCTTGAATTTTCACGATATACTGATATGATTTCATGGATTTCTCTAAATTATTTAATGGGAACAAAAGATATTAATAGATAGTAGGTATATAATTATTTAAATAAAATAAAAAAAAAGCGTGAACAAAAATAATAGTAGCTTGTATTTTCATTTTATGTATCATCGTCGTCAGCCGATAACTGTCCATGGCTGAACATAAATAAGTCTTCCCCATAAGGAGTTTTACTAGTAGTTGTCACGCTTGGCAGGCGGTTTGGCAATCGCAGTTTGCAGCAGGATTTGACGATGTGTTAAGAAGGACGTTGCTACCCATCCCTCGCTCAATAAGTTTCTTTAGTCGCCTTTTACGACACCCACGATAAAGTAAGGGACGGCCCACTCTATGCCGGGACCATATGGCGAATTTTATTAATATTAATTATAAAATTTAAAATGTGTCGAAAGTATCAAAAATATAAAAAAAAATATATACATGATCTCCTCTTTTTGAAAAGGCTTAATAAAACGGTA